AGGTGAGCGTGAGTGCCTCTTTCGTCTAGGAACTGGCGGTGGAGTGCTTGAGTTGGCCCGGCATCCATGGCGCTTCGGAGTCTCTGGCATGTTCGAGAGAATGAGATTTACTAGGCAAGAACGGACTGAAAATTGTAATTGAATGCGAACCGGTCCTCCACTCATGTGCTCTGTGAGAGGCCTGGAAGTCTTGAACAGCTTCACGTGCTCAGAGTCCGAGGAGATCCTGGCGATGACATCCCCGAGGCCAGAGACCACCCGGGCTGTGGTGAGAGGTTCTTCGAGAGTTTCTGTTGTCGCCTGTTCTGCGGCTGACCATTCATAGAATGGCCATTCACCTTCCGAGTTGAAGTAGAAGTCGGTCTGAAGTTTCTCTTGGATCGCCTTGTCTTTACTTGCCAGGACAAGCCTATCCTTGAGCTCACGCAAGAACTTGAGTCACGTGAGTGTCATTGCCACTCGTGGTGGCATCGTTGGCATATTGCTGCGAAGCCTTTGTTCTCTGCAAACAATTGGGGCAGCACCGTGTGTTCCTCGGTCCCAGCGTAAGACACAAAGGTGACATCAAAGGTTAGTGCCAGGATCTGTTCGTCGTGCCGTATAATCAGCCTGGCAACTGCATTCACAAGGTCCGTGGTATCTGAACCAGCCATGCTGCTTGGCGCCTTTCTGCCCTGCAAGCAGCTGCTAGCTGCCCACACAGGAGACAGCTCTCCATGAAGTGAGAATGGAAACCTGGGTTTCGGGCTGCTGCTTCCGGATTCCTAACGGACTCCGTTTGAATCTGATCGGAGATAGTCTGCTTAGTTTGGAGTTCCGGTGGGAGTTCATCTTGCCTGCGAAGGAGCAACTCCACTCGCGGGCACGTAGAGGTTTCCACGTGCTTTCTTAAATAGAAGAACGACCGAAAGGAGGCCAAGCAAGCACTACACCTAGCAGAACCAGCCATCGAATGGACTACTGGGTCAAACTTCGGGTCCTTGAGTCGGATATTCGTCTCGGGGTGCGACCGTTGCAAGTGTCGGCGTAGAGCACCTGTGCCAGTAAAGCAGGAGCCACAGTCCTGGCAAGTCACGAGCTTATCTTCCTTTTGGAGCATTGACAAATCTAGCGAGAGAGAAGAGAGTGCTTCAACAACAGCTTGAGCCCGTGGTTGGTACAGGGGCAAGAGCTGGACATCTCCCTTCTGGTGTCGCCTAAGAAACTGTGTGATTCGCTTCAGCGATTGACTCTGGACGCTAGGTATTTTCGTTCGCCGGAGCAACTCCTGGTTCGATTCCCGTGTTTCCTGGACTCCTCAGTGCAAATCGAAGCTGATACATCATGTGAGAGTGGAGGCTGATACATCATGTGAGAGTGGAGGCGATTGAGGCCCTGCTGCGTTACACCTACCACGTGCAGAGAGTACAAGGCAGAGGCCCATGCTGTGATTGTCCAGATAGAGAGACGTCTCTTGTCTGAGAGAACTCTGTGGTTCCTAACAGCATGTGCAACGTCTGACATAGCTAGCTTGATCGCTGCAAGGCGATGCTTGAGTGTTCGCATCTTATAGTGCTGGTAAGAGAAAATGATGCCCCAAGTAGGGCACCTGGTACTTATGCGAGATCATACGGCGAGACGAAAGCTCAATGTACCTCCTGCCGTTGACTGTTCTGAAGGTTTTCTTCCGCACTGTTGGAGCTGAGCCTCCATGAATCTGTATAAGTAGCGCAGATTTTGTGGGGTTGACTTTGAAACCTAGCTCTACTCCGCTGCTGAGGCCAAGCCTTATGATCAGCAAATCATGGAGGACTGCTATAGGCAATGCTCTGATCGCGTGGAGGCATTTTGGATTGCGAGTTGACTCTGCCCTGTCTGGCCTTCTGCAGGATTGGGGATCCCTTAGTCAAGCCATGAATGATGCACTGAGAGAGCACTTTCCCAAAAGAAGCCACAGCTCTCGCCTGCCAGATGTCAGTGTCTGGGAAGCAAGAGCTGCTCTGAGATCATTGCCTCTCACTCAGAATTATAGCTGAGTCTCTCCCTTTATTGCAGCTTCGCCTCGTGTTTCGTTGCTGGCAATCGTTTGCAGCACAAAGCTCTTAAGCAAAGAAGGCTAAACAGCTTAAGAAAGAACGCCGCCAACAAGAGATTGACTCCCAGCTCCTTCAATCGGAGCACAAATCTAGGCAGGATGGCAGCCACTCACTTTACAAGGTGATCAAAAGATTTCGCTCTGGCAAGCCTCAGGAACGGGTGCAACTGAGAGATGAAGAGGGCCGATTTCTCACTGCCGCCGAGGAGCGCAGACAACTCGAGGAGTACTCCTTGGATCTATTTGGTTGAGGGTCGGATGTTCCTCCAGCAGAATCTTAGAGAAGTTTGCGAATCACTCCCACAGAAGTGAGGGATCAGCTTATGACCGTCAAAGTTGGCAAAGCAGTCCCAAAAGATAGCGCCTTTGTCGTGGCATGGCGATCTCTGGGTCCCAAAGCTCATCAGTTTATCGCAGATGTCCTCAGCAGGTGAGCTCTCCACAGGCCTCACTGCTTCCCAGATCTCTTGGCTGCCCAAGCCTCCGAAGAAGCCGGACAAGCCAGCCTCCTTAAAGCCAATTGGAGTCATCGCTCCCAAAGAGAAGATACTTGCAGGTCTAGTTAGGAAGCGCCTAACGTCCACTCTTCAATCAGCCATGTCTGGGGTTTCGCAATTCGGCTTTTTGTCCCAGGACGCGGCACGGAGGAGGTCATCTGCAAAGCCCTCTTTCACGTAGACCAGGCCCGCCTCAGAACGGCTAGCGTGCAAAAGGCTGCCGCTCAGGGCAACAAGGGTCTGAAGCTCAAAGGCAGCCTAAGGTTGATCGTCTCAGATTGAGACAGGCTCCAGAGTCAGATTTGGCCGATCCCCTTCTGATAGAAGTGGTAGGTCACCTGCACACCCGTGCTTTCTACAGAATGACTGCCTCTGACCAGTCCTTTGAAATAGCGACCAGGCGAGGGATCAAACAAGGATCTTTGCATTTGTTACGGGGCTCTTATTCAGAAGCTGGCCAATCAAATCAGCCCGGAGGAGCTTGTGAGGATCCTGACCATTTATGCGGATGACAGCCTCCTGCAATCACACTTTGACTCCGAAGACGAGCTCATGATAACCTTAAGCTACTGTGATCTTCTACTCGACCAGCTAGTAGCTCCTGCTATGCTGTATTTTGCCGAGAAGAGAATAATGTTTACTGCCGTCACGCCACTGAGCTACTGGAAAATTTCGTTGTGGCTGACAGTGCTTCCCAGGTCCCTTCGATTGTGCTTTCCTAACGAAAGAGAAATCGATCTGAGAAACTGAGTTACCTTGGGAATGTGTGGCGGGTCTTCGTACGCCCCACGTGATGCAACGAGCTGGTGTTCCTCTAATAGTCTCTAGAGATCCTTAGTGCCTCGGTGCCCCAGACGACAGGTCTGTATGGTGCAGGGACCCACATGCCTCATGTCTGTCTTGAGGGAAGTGTTAAAGTCCCCCAGCACTAGCAGCGTGTTTCGGTTCGGTATGGCCCTCAGTGCTCTGCCAAGTGACTGCAGAGTCTGTTGCCGGATTTGCGTATTCTGTTCCACTGTCTCCTTTGAGCACCAGACGAATTGATAACAGCTGAGAACATCTAGAGAGAAGCCTTCGCCGGGAATGCGGACCTGCAAAAGGCGTCCTGGTATAACTTCGTTATATCGGATATCCTGCTGCTTGCAGAGAGAGGAGTGCACCATCACAAGGACCCTGCTCCCTTCTCTGCTGTAGAGCCTGAACGAACCACATGCCATCCCTCTTTACTGAACTGCCAGCTGCCTCTCCAATGGGTCTCCTGAATAGCAACAGTTTTAACCTCTTGATAAGGAGGAGTTCGCAGCACGGAGAGCAACTCATCCCAGGCTGCTGTGGTTAGAAAGCCTGCATTCCAAGATAGGAAGGCAATCTGCTGCCCCATCTGAAATTTTGAAGGAGAATACCTCTTGCTGGAGGTGTTAGGTGTACGCTTAGCTGTGATGACATCCTTCTCCGTTTGTACACCGCAATTCCTTCTTGCAGAGCCTTACGTGCCGCCTTCTGGTAAGAACGTTTGCTGACAAGTGCCATGGCGAGAAAGGAAAAAGGCAACTGTACTAGCCTGACCTTTCCTGAGCCGACAGGCTTACAACAACAACAACAACAACAACAAACATCACGAAAAAGGGCAAGCGACAACAAGCAGCGACAAGCAGCAGCAAGCAACCAGCAACGACACACAACAACAAGCGACCTCAAAAACCACAAACGACGACGACGACCACGACGACGGCCACCACGGCAGGGACGACCACGACGACGACGATGACGACGACAACACCGCACAGCTTTGTGGTTAAACACGACCCCTGGGTTGCTCACCAAACCATACGTGCTGGCTACTCAGATATGGGCATGATCCCACATCTCAGGAATGAGGAAGGAGCATTCTTAGACAATGTACTAAAGGGGGATCGAAGCTGACGGTCTGGTTGTATCGACTCCATGGAAAACACCGTGAGATGATGTGGCCGATCGAAGCCAGGAGAAAGTGCTCGAAGACTTTAGCAAAAGCATCTCCTTGAGAGCAAGAAGAAGCTTCTTCGTCCCGAGGCATCTCAACCGCGCTCGTGCCAACAGCATTGGTCGGCTCATTTCGAGAATAATAGTATTGGCGATATATTGAGACTGAGTTAGACTGAGAAGAACACCTTATGTGTCTAGGGATCTTCATTCCGGAAACCGTTCCCGGAATGCAACTGCCGAGTGATCGCCCATGGCTACAAGAGCTGTTGCGCAGCGAGGCAGGCGTGATCCTGGTTGGAACGTTTGCGGTGCTCGTGCTTAAGCACCTGTAGAGCATTTACCATTCAAAGCCATTTTGCAGACTACGGCCACTGGAAAAACCCACACCTAAACATGAGCACACTCGTGCTTTCATCTCCGCCACAGTGTTGTCTTGGGGGTGTAGGCGGTGCTGAGTCGAGGGCTTGGCTGTCCAGATCCACAACCACAAGCGCAAACTCCTGAGCTGGAGTCAGCAACAACCTCGTGCAAAGGCCATCTGTTCGTTGAACCTGCGCTATACTGTCGGGCTCGCCAGACACAAACTCACACTCAGACTCACACTCCATCCAAGGTTTGAGGAAAACGAGGTCCCAGATGCAAATATGCTGGTAGCAAGCACCTGTCTCTCTCACGTGTGTGTGCGCCGGACTCAGCGTTTTGAAATGCCTGGGTGGTCTTGGGAGCTGACTCGCCGTCTGACCGATACAGATGTCGATCCTCAAAACCCTGCGGAACCTGGCATGTGCATGACTAGCAGGACTAGCATGCCAAAGCACATGTAAGTTTCCTTGAGCGTCGCATCTGACTGCCTGCCGTGCATTGTAGATCTCGCCGTTGTATACAGCTACCACCTGGAGTTAGCTTCAAGCATCCAGCAGAAAGGGACGATGGCCACAGAGCTACATCTCTGTGATTTTCCGTTCCTTATCCTGCACGAACGGCTGCCACACGCGTTCGCCGGTCCTTGCAAAATCGCAAAACCATCCAGAGCACGATGCTGGACGCATTCCCACCTGAGGGTGTGACATGTGGAGGAGATTGTGCACGAACACAAATGGACCTTTTCGGAGAGTCTGTGTTCCTTGGTACCAGGCTTCACTTGCCGGCAAAAGGCCAGAGAAATCTCACGTGACCTTGCGTCCTGTATCACAGCGCTGCGGCCCAAGCCGTCCGGCCCTCTAGGAAGTAAGAAATAGTTCACAACCTTAGAGGCAACTTCGGCAGCTCGCTTGATAGACAAGGTTGCAAATTACCTGAGGCTCGGGTCCGTAAGATTCGATAGAAGCCAAGATGTCACCAAAAAGCTGCACATGCTGACCTGCCGGACTGACACCAGCTACGACTAGACTGAACCTGACGTTCACATGCGTCTGCAGGCTGCAGTTTCCGCCTGTCCTTGAGCTCCCTCGGATCCAGTCTACATAACCGGCATTGGATCTCGTTGTGCAATTCAAAACTTTTTGTGCGAGCATGACTGCAGAAAGAAGCTTTCATTTCTAAATTTCAGCAACATATCCAGAGTGCGGAAGCCTGCTCGCAGTGCAGTTTCGATTCTCGACTCGATGCTTTGAGAAGAAGAGCAAACACGATCGTGCAAGATGTCCCTTTCTCGTTGGCAAAGCCAGCTTCACTCGCAAGCACAAGTTACGCAGCTCTTTCAGAACTATCACCTTGCTGCTTTTGCCTTGCACCGGTCGTGAAAAGCGTGGACTCATCCATTGTGGGGACGTCCTGAACCCAGAGGTCCACTGTCTACAGTAGGCCCCAGGGCCTAACAGATCCCGCGTTCTAGTCTCGAGACATAAAGCCGTCTGAGGCTGTGCTCTCACGTACGCCTGGCAGGATAGACCATGGCCATGCAGGACGATACCTCTCCTAAATCACCTCAAGGCCGCCTCTACATTGGCTGCAGCTGCACTGCACAACTGTTTTCATACGCTTTCGGTCCAGCGTCACGACAACTGGAGCCCCCTCGCAGCGAGAAAGGACTTCACAGCCGGATAGTTTTGCAGCTCGGTCACGAACATAGTCTTCACACGTGGATCAGCCAGGCATTTTTTCGGGTTTTGCAAGACCCGCATAAACTCGGGGTGATCCTTCAAGAAAGATTGCAAAGCCTCTGCCGGATTCACGGCTTGATCCTCGCCTTGACGTCCTTCAGGAGCCGAAGCTGCCTCTGCAACCCGAGTCTCCTCCCGCACTGCATCGGATGCATGATCGGGGTCGGCCGACCGACCGGCAGTGGCACCTGGAGCCGAAGAGCGCTCTTCTGCACGCTCGAGCCACTGCTTTTCCTGTAGCTGCTTCTCTTGCTGCTGTTTCAGACGCTTTGCCTTCCGGTCAGACTCGAACTTCTCGAGGAAGTCTTGCCGCTTCCGCTTCAAGGCTGCAGCATCAAATTCCCAGTCCATTTTCGTGTCATCCCCGGGAGGTTCCGCGGAGTCAAGCTCAACGACGGAAGCCCATTCTGCACTGGCATCAAGATCAGCTGCTGCGTCGAGCAAGGCAACCACGTCTGCCATTGCAAGTGCATTTTCATCTGGGTATTCTTTCCTTGTTGCATTGGAAGTGCCGTTCAAGCAAGCTTCTGCTGTGGTTTCCTGTGCTGAATTTGAGCTCCGTCCTGCCCTTGCAGGCTGCTCGAACAATCGAGCAGGCAGCACTGAGGGGAGCGGATCTAGTGACTTTGCAGATGCCTCCTCCCGCAGCTGCTGGACTGCTTTCAAGCTGCTGCCAACCTGCTCGTGGATGTCGGGACTATTCGGTGCATGCTGCAGAGCGAGTAGAAGCTCTTCAAGCAAGCTCTGCGGCGAACTAGCCCCGGCAACAACCTGAAGGAAGACGGTTGCAGAGGGACAGTGGCCGACAACCACTCGCGACAGTGAGATAAGGGAGTCTGCAGCCCGGAGCCAGCTCGCGAGTTCTTCAAGAGCTGCGATCTCCTCTTCGGACCCTCTCTCTGCTGAGCGGCAATGCTGGCAACAGACCTGGATTTCCATGGCAATCCTGTGTGCACAATGTCCCAGTTTGAAGGCGCTGCTTACACTCACCCGCACCTCTCCATCTCTTGTATCCCCAGCGCTGAAAATCAAGCTGAGGCAAAGCCATTGCGGCGTGCAGAGGCCCAGAAGAAGCTCCAATGCGGCGCATATAGTCGAGACACCTGCAGGGGAACCTTCATCGGGACCTTTGTTAATCAAGAGATTCACGGCTTTGGCGACCATTCTGCATTTCGGCACGGAGTGGGATGATGGTGAGGCAAACATCAAGGCCAGCAGCCTGATGGACTGGGAGAATGCCATTGGAGGCAAGGAGCTGGCCGGTGCATGCGCAAGGACTGACTGGCAAAGCGTCTCTATTTGATGCTCTGTTAGAGCCATTCTGGCAGCAGGGCCCAGCGATCCGAAATGCGCCAGCAGCAGCAAAAGGCGCGAAACAGCACGAGCGTCACGCGGATCACGAGCTGCACCGCCACTGATGTCATCACTGCCTTCCGACTCTAGGACAACACCGTTCAGAGCGGCCTCCGCCAGTCTTCGAATAAGCACCAGAATGGGCAGTCCAGCAACTGTCAGCTTTTCCAACACTCTTGCAGTACAAAGATGAAGAAAAGCATCCGACGTCAGAGCACACTCAGCAGCCATTGCCAGAAGCTCCGCAACATCGTCTAGGGACAGCCGCTCTCTGCGCTGGTTCACCATCTCGACCAATCCTAAAGCATGAGCTGCCGCTGCCTCCCGGTCCGCTGCGAGCGCTCGCACCAATGGATCTGCAGAGCTGCGAGAAGCATCCTCCCAGTCCTGCACCTCGGAAGTTCCACTCCAAAACTGACCGCATGCCTCACGGCCGGCTATCTGACTCGGGGACACAGGCCGCAAGGTCACCATGCCAGCATTTCCCGTGCGAGTTCCAGTCGGCATCAGCACAAACTGGGACTGCAAGCTGTCCCCAGGCTGAGAGCTGGAAAATAACAGGTTAAACTGATGCGATGTTGCAGGAAGTACTGGCTTGAGGTTCCCACATGTTGCCAGAAGCAACATGCCTCCCGCAAAATTGGTCGGCAGAACACGAGCGTGCCGGAGCAAAGGAAGCAAAAGCAGCCCTCCAGCTGCGTCAGGGAAGCTCTGAAACCAAAGCCGGAATACACGACAGACCCACACGATGCAGTGTCGCCATAACAGCCTGAACTCTGGATCACTGTTAAAGCCGGCGCGAGGCGCCAGTCCAAACAATCCAGATGTCAGCCGCTGTGATAACAGAAGTAGTGTTTGGCACAACTCGGTGTGTCTGTAATGAGACAAGCCGGCATCCCGAAGCCCGCAAAGGAGGTGTGCACACGTCTGGAGCGCTGCCTCTAGCAATTGAGCATGTGAGCGTCGCGTCGCGTAGATGAGAGCTATGGCCTTCTTTTCCTCTCGAAGGATGCTGGCCTCTAAGTTCAGGCTGAAGGCTCCAGCACATCGAATCAGCCAAGGAACCAATTGAGCCAGTCCATCTCTGCCGTCGGCTTCAACCGCAATAGCAAGCGCTTCTTTCGGACTGGCTGCCCTGCGGCAGAGTACACGCATTGCAAGCAGCGGCAGCTCTGTAAGGTCCTCACTGGGATAGCGCTCCAAGTGGTCGTCGAGGTCGGCGGTCGGCTCTTCTCCAGCATTGAAGTCAACCTCTGGCACGTCGACACTTGCTGCAGAATGTCCTCCCAAGACCAGCGCTAGTCGCCTGCTTCCGCGTTCTTCGTTGGTCGAGCGCTTCAATGAGCGAGGACCTCTAGTGAGAACCAGGCTTGCCATGAGCTTGGCATTGGTCACCGAAGTCGCGTTGGCATCGGAGTCTTCCTGTCGCCATGGGCGCAGTTGAGCGGCCAACTCCTTGAGATTCTTCAAGAACTCGAAGTCGGCACTGCGTCGCCCAAAGCGGACAGCCTTGCCAAGCCCACCCTCCGCACCTTCACTGTCCAACGCGAACTCCAGCAAAGCACTGGGGTCTGCTGACTCGTCTGCCTCGGGCTCCAAAACCCTGACAGCCCGCAACACCAAGGCCAGCACTCTGGTTCCAAATCGTTCTGCAGCAGCACCGGAGGGGTCAGATAAGACCAAGGCGTGGAGAATGGCGACGAGATGGCGAAGTGAAGGTTGAACCTGAGATGCCCGGCTTCCACTTGGAGTGGCTTCATCCAAACGTCCTTCGATTTGTCGCAGAAGCCACTCAGCAAAGAATACTGATCGAAAGGCTTGTACGACTGCACAGCGACCTGCAGAACCTCTGACACAAAGCCGATGCAAAGCAGCCAGCCCCTGGCAAGCATGCTCTTCTGGCAAAAGGCCGCCACGGCCCTTGGACCTCGTGCATCTTAAGGCTATGAATCTGAAAAATCAAATAGACACATGTTCAACAGACAGAAGCAATGAAGCAATGTCGTGGCCGTGTTCCCCACCTCGTGGCAGCCACCAGAAGAAGCGAAAGTCGCAGAGCGCGCACGTGAGTGGAAGCCAGGGTGCCCAAGTGCGGCGCGGCCAAGTCTTTGACAAGAGCTGCAGGAAAGCGCGGCACTGCTGGCAAGTTCTTGTGCGCCACCCCACACTCAAGAAGATTCAGCCTCGCAAGCTGCTCAACTGGCAAAACTTGCAAGTTCTAGCGTACCTAAATCAAGTGCTCTTCTGCAGCCAGAGCACAAGGTAGTGTACGTAGCATTGTCAGCGGCCAGGAACTGTGGCCCACCCGAACAAGAGAGCAGCATGCACATCAGTCGCTGGATTGGTCGGAAGAGCAACAAGCGGTCGTGCGGGTGAGTGCGGGCAAGGCGACGGAGCAAAACAGAAAGCCCAGGCAGTAGACGTCGTCCTGTCATGAAAGACTCCAGGAACCCGTACAGATGGCACTGGCCTTGTGCAAACGGATCAGTTGCCAGTATTCCTGTTCCACATCCTCCAAAGATTACACCCGGAAGCTTCGAAGCCGAATCATCCACAAGCTGGCTGCCAGGGATATCATCAAAAGGCCAAGAGCTGCCAGGCTCAGCATCTTGCACATTGGTCGGCTGGCTCAAGTCTTCGAGGTGCACCGTGATATCACGCAGTGCTGCTGCAGCTGCCTTGTGCAGTCTGTCTTGTGGAGTTTCGTTACCGTCAACAGCCTCAAGCTTGGAGCAACTCTCATCAAGCCTTGTCAAGGCTTCATAGAAAGCAGCCCTTCTCAGCAAAGTTGCAGCAACATGCTGCAGCCTTGGCTGTCCGGAAGTCCCATCGAGAACCAGCGAGAGCACAACCTCGTATGCTGTAGTTTGCCCGGACACCGTGTCCGACCACCCGAGGA